ATGTGCATTGGTGCGAAGGGTCTCTAGAGGTTTGGGAGTGTGCATTTAAGGGCATAGTAACTGGTCTGACCACGTCTGTCGAAGAAAGTAAATGAGGCGAGTGTAAGCCTAAGAAAAGCCGGTGGACCACAAAAGAGTTGAGCAAKTGCAATCCCTCGAACTTGAGTGAAAAGGACCCGAATACAGGATTGTAGCCTGGATTTTTTTATACTAGAATACACGAATAAACTAACAGATTGTTACACTAAAAATAAAATAGCTTTCATAATGTTTGGTCGTATGCATTTCACAGAAAAAATACACAACAGAAAAAAAAAGAATGCAGTGAACTCCGTATAGGCCAATTTAGACGGTACAACTTTTTAAAGTTAAAGTTAAAATTAAAATTGCCTACAACTATCGCATGCAGCATGAGTAAGTCATCATGACTACAACTGTGGTAGAGATTAAAAACAATTGTTTGATAACCATACGATAGTTGTAGCCWTGTTGTAAAGATGACTTACACATAAATTACATGTCGAATTATCTTGATGTTTTTTGCGCGATAACTCGATTAGAAACCGCCATGTTACTGCACGTAAATCAAAAGTAAACATTTTCTGCTGTTAAATAACAAAACTTTCGCATATAGTAGTCAAATGCTCAGTGATATATGGAAAACAAATTGTTCATTTCCATTTTTTGATTTTCTTTAATTATGCCTTGTCATTTTAAATCCAATCATCTGTCTTGATCCCAAAAGAAAATGACATTGTGAAAAGGTTTGCTTGACATCTATTGTGATCTTTTAATCTCACTACAAAAAGTCATGTCTGACTAGAATCAGGTCAGGTCAGACATGTAGTCTGCTACTGGTAACATTGTAACCCAGTACAACCTGCCTCATGGACGGGTCGTCGGCGTCTAAACCGGCACCCCCACCAGTCTACACTGGTGAGGAGGGTGGCATGACTCCCAGCAGGACTAAAAACAAAACCTGTCAAAGGGCGAATGAGCTCATTTGAGCCACCGGCCATCATGCAAAAACATTTGACTTGTTTATTGTCACTGTGATGTAATCTGATTGTTGTACTTTTTTAGTTTGAGATCTTGGGACGGACTGTGCAGCGACAGCCAGAGGCGCCAACTCAAGCTCACAGTCTACCAAGGCTCTCATGTGTTTTGTAGTTGTCATGTAGTTTTAAAGCGCTTAGAACAGAATTGGATAAGCGCTATATAAATAGCATTATATTATCATTATATTATTATTATTAGAATCCAACTCATCATATTCACCCGCTGACACAATGTTCCTTCATTAGATGACTCGTCATATGAAACTTATGGGGGACAAATAGTCCGTGATCACTCAAGCTTGACCTGACAGTCCGTATAAAGTGCCAAATTTGACGAAAAAAGACCAGATTTCAAGGCTTTTTGAAGAAATGCGGCGACATTAAAAACAATCCTAAAAACCTAGCACCGGATTTAAGAAATGAAATATGTATGCGACCTTTCTGGGTATTTTTCGTGAGAAAATTCAAAAATCCAATCATGTATTTTTGCCCTTGAAGAGTTGAAGTTGAGCATTAAAATAGTATGGCGATCCATGTTTTCACCACAGTTCGCTCCAAAAAACTGGGCCTCGCGCATAACTTGTTTTGTTAATAAAAAACCTAGCACCGGATTTAAGAAATAAAATGCATGTGTGACATTGCTGTGTATTTTTCGTAAGAAAATTTAAAAATCAAATTATGTATTTTCGCCTTTGAAGAGTTGGCGTTGCTTCGCATCCGTTTGCGTTTCGGGATTCCAGTCCGGACGACGAACGGATGCAAAGGAGACTACCTCTGTAGGCACAAGCAACAAAAATCAAACATGAATTTTTCAAATTATTGCTTTCTTATTATATGTTGAAAATGTAGTCAAAACTGCGCAGTGCTCTATGCAACTCTATGGTTGAGAGTTTTGTGTTAAGTCAATATTGAAAAATTTATATCAGTCAGTGAACGTAACTGTGATATTATATGTACATGTACTTTCCTTTCTAGAGGTGACTTTGACATTTATTATAGTATCTAATGGTCAGATGGTGATGTTAATGAGGTCGATCGACGATAAAATATTAATTAACTCCATTGTATTATATTTCATGAAGTAAATAAATAAATTAATTAATGAGGTCGATCGACGACAAAATATTAATTAACTCCATTGTATTATATTTCATGAAGTAAATAAATAAATTACATGCATATATACATGCATGCATGGATGCATGAGTGAGCCTGGACAATAATCCAAGCAAATGTCACCCGATGTATGGCAGTAAGTTTCATGTGCTCAGTGGAAAAAAGGTCATTTTTACCAAACTTGTGTAAATTATCTCTCGCTGATTGGCTGATTAGAGTGTGTCAATAATAAGAGGACATGCACACTGTGCTGACGCCATCACGTCTCGCGCGCGCTCAATTGAAAGAAAAGAACGATTTTCGCTAATAGTTAGACTAAGAATGTGTTAACAAGCAAATTGCGCGCGGTTTCGCTGCGCTCGTGGGGTCTGCTTGAGTTTTGAACGTTTTATRACGTCAAGAGTGCGCAATTTGTTAATTTTTCTGGCAAAGCAGACTTAAAGTCTTCGCGGGACAAGAAAAGGAGAAAATGTGTTCATACAGGCATTAAGATCTCAGTGAAGCCACAGGCAGCCCATCTATTTATTCTAAGATGTATATGTTATCACTATCTTTTATAAAAAAAGTAATGGAAGCATGAGTTCAAATTCAGAAGAAATGAATAATCAAAGTGACTTTGGTTTTATTAATGCGCGTTCTTAAACAAAATGTCGATGGCGCCAGGTCAAAACTTCAGATAATTTCTTGGAAATTATTCACTCATTGCCGCTACAGATCTTCCTGGCGGCATATTTGTTAACAATCTATTTTTAAATAATATTTCGATGACAGATGCGGCTGTCGCGGAATTGTACGTTAATCAAACATCAAGTGTTATATGCACAGCCTTCTTCTGAAAAAAGCTTCTAGAAATTAGTATTCTTGAAAAAAGCTCTCAAGCCGACAGAGACAGATTGCCTGATAAAGATTGCAGCGAGCCATAAAACCTACATATTATATATAATGGTAGTGTTATAAGCAACCAGTTAGTAGTCTCTATTGCTTCCGACTTTCGATTTCATCCGTTAATTAAGCTCATTTAACAGGGTTTTTTTGGAAAACCGGAATGTGAGTTTTCTGAGGATGTTGCTATGGTGGCCAATTGCTCTTTAGTCTCCTTCGCAGCCTACCCTTTTGTCGGGCTTCCTGTCCCTCCCAAAAGACAGGAAGCCCGACAAAAGGGTAGGCTGCGAAGGAGACTAATTGCTCTTAAAGACGATTAAWAGAAAAATACTGCTTTTTCAAGCTAGAGCACAGTCAGTAGAGGCAAACCATGATGAACGGCTCCGAACTATTTTCCACCAACGTTACTGACTTCAGTCCAGAAACCTGTGTAAAYCTAAACCGATCCCTGTTCAATGGTCGAGATTCGCTGCTACGAGTCTGACCTGAAACTGAAACTGAATTTTTTGGGATCTCGCTGAAACAAAGACCATATCAGCAGAATTCGATTGAGAGAGATTAAAAAACCCAGAGAGTCACAAAATTACAGCCTTGAATGACTTTAAAAAATTGATGAAACCTATGCTTGAAACAAGTATGGTTCTGTTGGAGATGTACTTTGAATGATAATTGTAGCATAACCATCGTAGCTATTAGCGTTACACTCTCGGTATCCCTGTGTAATGTTTTTCTCATGTTGCATTGTGGGACGGCAAGCAAGCGGTCCACATAATTTCACGACGAGAAAGGTTGATTAAACTTATCATCATTAAGCATCTAGTCTAGTTTTTGCTTTCTCCGTTCGAGGACAGGACCCAGAGAGCTTGGACACTCGCCCAAAGTGGCTCAGAGCAGCTACAATAAATTTATCGGAAGTTCAATAATAAAGGTAAAAAWATATAACTGTAACTTATACAATTTTCGATGTTAAGTTCGAGTAGGGAGGGTTCAAACATCGAACTTTTGCCGTCTTTAATCCGATTGATATTGTAAGCTTACGTAGACTATTTTTGCCGAGAAGCCTTCAGTTTAGTTTAATCAAATGACCTTTACAGAATATAATAACTTCCTACAACGGAACCAAATCTTCCGAAGTCAATATTAAATTTGGAGTACGAAATTCTCATAAACATAGAGTGGGTCTCATTAACCCGTGAAACAAAGTGTAATAGCCAAGAAATATAATAGAAAACAAAAGAGACAAAGTGTAATAAAGTGTAATACGCTAAAGTATATTTCACGGGTTAATGAGAACCACTATACTCTTTCTTAAGCTAAAATGAGTTAATATGTTTATAATATTTGTTTGCATGTCAACATTCCTTGAAACAGCGCATCTCTACTAAGGCTATCCTTGAAATAGTAGTACTAAATAATCATTTTCAGCTTCTGTTGTGCTGTTGGAGCTCCGCTATTAGGTGTTACCTAATTTTTATAGCCCTAGTTAGTCGTCCTTTCCCCTAAAGCTAACCCTTTGACTAGAGCACAACTGTAAACTGCCTGAACTGACTTGACCACAAGGGATTCCGCTGCCAAACAACGAATTGTTTGTCACATTTAAAGTATTTTGCATTGCTAATATCATGGGTAAATTGGGATTCCTTAGGGACCGCAATTCGCTCATTAGGTGCTTCTATTCGCTTGTTAAAGACGCGCTATACCCTTGTTAGCTAATACCATATATATGGAATACGTAATGACAACCCCTACTCGTTAATCTGGTTCAATCTGAGCAGTACATTTTTGGGGGAGGGGGTGGATGAATTTTATAATATAGATTTCGAACACTTCCTTGATGTCTAAAAGACACTTCCACATGACCATTTAGTGCATGACCGCAGCCTTCAGTGTGGCAATAGTATTAATTATCCTGAGAGTTCCTGATTAACCTCAAGAACCATCGTCCTTTCTTTTTGTGTTTATTGTCATTTATTCGTCCCATACTACATACGTAAACAAAAAATCATCCATGCCCTTACAACAATTCTTCCCCGGCAAAACCGTAGCCGGCAATTGTTTAGCAAAAACTGATTTCCATAAAAAACATTTATATTTGTGACTCCCTAGCATGAGGAGTAAATGAATAGTTTTTTTCGCATTCCTGGACATGTGAGTAACAATTAGACAATTAGACAGTGGAAAACAAAGAAATTATCATGATTCATACATTTAGTATTTGCATTCAACTCTAAAGTAAACTGACGGGGTGTCTGTAGTGCCAGAGTTGACTTTTATCTCTTTACAAAAAGTCCCGCCGTAGCTACTGTATCACTGTATTTTTGCTGAGTGTTAACGCTAGTATACGRCTGTCTATATTACGATCATAAGGAGAAACAAGTAATACTGGTATGGTATGTGGTGCTTTAAACATTTTAAAATTGAATATCTTTATTTAATTTATTAAAAGTCCTAATTGGCATTCCCTTATCCGGTTATTACAGTGTTTTATCGTTATCCACTTATTTACGACATCAGGACTGACTGCATAAATAGTGAGCTAAAATACAAAACAATGAAATTACCTTTTATGTAAAAAAAAAAAATGAATTAACGACCGAAAAAGATGATGGCCCGGTCATGAGTCTTAGGGGGTTTCGATCATTTCGACAGTACCGGCTGCACAGACCGTTCCATCTATGCCTGTTTTGAAATTCTWTATTTTYGATCGTACTAATGAATGAAATTTATTTTCCTATTGAACAGGAATAATAAAAAATGGGATTCTCTTTGGTTCTGGCATCCAGTTCTGATTGGTTCAAATTTAAAAGTACCTTCTATTTCAGCAATTGTGTTGTTTACCTTTAATAGTATTTGCACCCATACAACTCCAATCTCATTGCAACGAAACTATGCCATGTCTTGACTWCTACCCTGATGTACCTGGCATAAATCGGGGGATTTAGATTATGCTTGACAACGGTGTGTCTGTCACTGTTTCCTTTGAACACTTTKCCTCCCTGGTATTTCTTGAARGTTTTGCCATTGTCGCTGTATTGCAGGAGGTAGGTTTTCACCCACTGGCTATAGTCGTATCGACCTTGGGTTGCGACACCTTTAATAGTGCTGATCTTGCCCAAGTCAACTTGGAGCCATTCTCCTGCTAGTTGTCCACTTGCAACCCATGCTCCATACTTATAAGGAGATAGCGTAATGTGAAGTCGTGCTCGTTGCGGTTCATGTCTCTCGTAATACGATGATGCGGTGATACTCGAGTCAGGGATGGCTCTACTCTGCATCCCAAGTGCACCTKCCTTACATGCAGTTCTTCTACCTGAGATTTATTTGTAGAAATTAATAAGTACTCTAATAGCCAATCGCAATGGTCGAGGTGATAATCAAATTATTGAGTGAGATATCTCACACTTTTAAGCATTGTTTAAAAGTCCCTTATAACTGAAGTACTATCAAAAAATACAGTGATAAACCTTATTCAGCAGCGGATAACAAAAAATGTTTTATTCACAACAAATCCACATGATGCCAACTTGCAATAACGGGGGACCCCACTGCAAAATGATAGGAGCAGTCATTTCTTGCTGCTAGCGGCGTCACAGTTAAAGAGTTTAAAGAGTTGTATGAGATCGTTTCCGAATTATAGGCGAGTTTGAATTTTCATTCAGCAAAAAACGAAAATGCGTTTTTACAAACATGTAATTGACTAAAGTGAAAACCTTATTCATAGGTCACAGACAAAGCTTTCTTCGCGATCACGTCATTAGCGTGCTCCTTAATTTGTCGTGAACAAAAATTGAGTGGATTCTAGCCTGCGTAGCAGCCCTCTATGAGAAGAGAGAGCCGGCAGTCACGACATAGAATAGTACCCACCCGCCACCTAATTACCGTGCCCAGGCATCTACGGCCGGCACGATAATAAAATGTAAGTACAATTTTTTTCCGATTTTTTACATCGACTGGGACAACTTTGCTCATACTGATAGAACTACATGGTATGATGGGGGTCGTTTAAGGAGATGAAACTACAGAACATATTTGCTATTTGGGGCACGAAAATCACCCAAACTTTACATGAGTTGATATTTTGAGAGACTCAGTCTTGAGCGGAAACTTACAAGTGAATCTTCTAGATCRAGAATCAAGAGCGATTACTTTTGAGTGAGTCGTCTATTGACAATCAAGAGCGAATACTTTTGACTGACACTGAAAGCAAACTTTTATCAAAGTTGTATTTACATAAATGTATTCCAATACGATATAGACGTGCTCTCGAATCAAGCAGAAGTTCGGCGACGAATTCTCAAATGTCTTAGGACCAAGATGATTTTTCTTGCTAACTTAAATATACCTTTGATCAAGTCATTATCGATTCGTTTGAACAGTTAGTTCACTTCTTTCATCACAGCTAATATAAGAAGAATTTTGGAAAATCCTTTCCTTGCCTATAGAAGATAGCCGAACACTCTTTTTATTACCGTGTCCAGGCCGAAGGCCTGCGGCACGGTTATAAAAGGCAGCGACTTTGTTTTTTATTTTTTTTTCCACGTCGCAGTTTAGCAATCCCAAGGGACTCATTAAATCCAGAGTTCCAAGGTTCGATCCTCGACTGCAGTACTTCTGAAAACTTCTTTTTTTTTGTTTCTTTCATTTTTTAACTGAAATATAAGTGTTCTAGTCATGTTAGATTTTTATCRTACCAATTCGTTTTATTGATATTTACGAGCCGCGTTTGTTGAATTTTAGAAACAAGAAGATACTCGAACAGCCGGGCGGCCTCGAACAGAAGATTGTGGGTTCAAATCTCGTCTCGAGCACTTTTTTTTTTGTTTCTTATTTCTTTTTAAATATAATATGGTTGTTATATTCATCTCATTTTCTGTAGATTTTGTTTTTAAAACAATTATTTTCGAGCCATTATTTTGATTTTTACACAAACTATCGTACTCGAATAGCATCGAACTTAWGATCGCGGGTTAGATTCTCGACTCGATCACTTCTAAGCGATTCTTTTTTCTTTTCTTCTTTTTTTACTGAAATATACTTATTCTTATTTTTCTTGTWGATATTTGTTTTACATACTTTACACTGAAGATCATACTTGAATAGTGGCGTTGAACTGACGATCTCGGGTTCGATTCTCGACTCGAGCAGCTTCTAACATTTGTTTTCTTTCTTTCTTTGCAAACTTTAATCTTATAGTAAATTCTCTGAGGATGATGTGAATGCAATCTGAATGCTAAATTTTCGCTGCAATGATAAAAATATTCACAATATTGCGTGAAAAGATCATRCGCAAAATCTATCARATCGATCGCAGCGCTGGTAAAAGTATATATTAGCTTAGCCTGGACACGGTATGTTCCACCAAGTGGATCTTKTTTATTTCAAAATGTCAGGTATTTATGGGTTGTTCGAATAGCCCAGATGAAATTTGACAATATTTGGCCACAACTAGTCTCGCCCCATGTAAGAGAGTCCGGAATCCAGTAAATAAAAGCTTTGGAATCCGGAATCCGTATCCTGGAATCCGAAATCCAAATATAMGCCCACCTATAGCTGATTACAACCAACACAGTAATTACTTACGGAAATTCAATGACACGTAAAGTGTCTTTTTGCCCAATGAATTCACAGCTTGGCATTGATAAGATCCACCATCGCTTATCTGGAATCTTCTTACTGACAGCTTTCCACCATTTTGTTGACTTCGTTCAKAAGGAAGGAGACCGTGAAGTTTTGACCACGTGATTATGGGTGGTGGATAACCCAATGCATTGCATACCAAATTCACAGTACTTCCTTGAACAACTGTTTGAAAWGGCTCTGGTAYCTTTATGAACCTAGGTGGAACTATCAAAACAAGAAAATTATAATTCGAACCAATGTCAAATCAGACTTCCTGATGAAATATTTATACCATTTCTATAGRTAAATTCATAACATGATAAAGACAACRACCAACAACCCTAAACAAMAATAATTGCGATCTAAAATCCCKTTCAATTAAAAAACRCKWCGAAATCARATAATTAACCAAATACAAAAATATTGAATTAAATGCTGGAGAAGGACATACTGCTTTGAAACGTTGAGAAATACTGATATTAGTTTTACTCACATCTTATAAGAAGTGATATTGTTTTTGAATCTTTTCCGAGAAGACTCTTTCCAGAGCACGTGTAGTTTYCYGCATCRTTTTCGCCAACATCCGATATCTCAAGCAATCCTGATTGATCGATTCTGGTCTTACCAAAATCAATATTTCCAGATTCTTTTATCCATGTTATCTTTGGTTTGGGATTACCGCGAGCATGGCAATGAAAAGTAGCTGTCTGGTTTTGTGTAACTGTCAACGTCGATGGAGACAGAAATACTGAAGGCTCAGAAACAGCTTCCCCTCGTTCCCCTTTCGGTCCCTGCAGTCCTGGTGGTCCTGGATATCCGATATCTCCCTTTTGTCCTTTTATTCCCTTAAGACCTGGTCGACCTCTTCTTCCTCGAGCCCCTCTTCTCCCCATTCGTCCTCTTTTACCCGGAGCTCCACGAGAGCAAATTTTATGAGGCGCTTGACAAAACTGCGAGAYCGTGAGGTTTAAAATGTGATTACGTACCTCCCTGCGAATAGAACTCAAAACATCAGGAGACATGTAAGGAGTGTTTCGTCTTACACGGTCGATGAATTGCGTCTGACYATCTTTTTCTTTATTCAGTGTGATCTTTGTTTCTTCGTGATCTGTTCGTAAATAAAGGAAATACTGTAAAAGTTGGCGTTGAATCAAAATATTTAACCTGGTCTCAGKTGATATTGCTAGAGTCGCATTTCGATCATAAATTAGATGACAGAAAAGACCGTTTTTTTAGACCTCTGATTTCGATGTCGGTATTAATTGTAAACACCTTAGTGAAATACCAGCTAGAAASCGCAAAGAAAGTGTGCATAGGAAACTTCTTCTACTGTATTATAAGTTAGGCGGTATAGTCGATATCTTCTCTGTTATTCTTTTAAACTTGAATGAAGGCTTGATAAGTATACCAAGACAGCATTCGCGTCATTTCTATCAAGATTGACGTCGGCCCTACCTTGAAAATTATCATCCATTCCTTTCGCAAGGCAACAAGAATTGAGTTCCATGTTATGTACCCTTAAGCGATCTTCAACAGTCACTAGACGATGATTTATTGTGACATACTTAGGAATAATGCCTGCACAAAGTAGCAATGTATGCGAAAAGAATGTGACAATGAAGAACTTTGTGTGGCTACAAGAATTCGGTTTGTCAGGATCTTTTGAAGAAGACATTTTGGTGATTCGGTCCTTTGCACTCATGAGACTGTCACAACGACGGACATGGAGCATATAAATTTACTTATGATAGGACCAGACATGCTGCATTGTGTCTCAGTGGTGAATTTGATCCACAGGTCACTGGAGTCTAACTTCCTCTTTTTTTTTTGTTCATGCCGCTTGAAGTGATATTTCGAGAATATTAATGCTCAAACGTACAATCTCATTTYCAGCTGTCATCTTTCAAGGTCTAGAAAATCCCTTCTAAAAAAAACAACCAAAATTCCCTGAAAACATCAGTTTAGTATAAGTCTTAGTATTCTTTATAGCTCTTAATGTTCTTTTGGGGAAACAACATAATACCCCGCGATGACGACAAAAATTGTATTGAGTTTTGAATGAAACTTTGCTGCTCATCATCTGATAGTGATTGGCTAATTAGCAGCATTTTGGCATGCTATACATTTTCGCTAATGAATGCGGTTCTTCATGATCCTAGTTTTTACTCGGGGTTCCACAGGAACAGCGAGTTTAGGTTTCGGCCTTCTTTGTCATGGTAGTATTTGGTACACAAATTGTCTCGGCTAAACTAGAATGCACTGGGTACGAATCACGTGATATTCACAACTTCCATGTGCTATCTTTACATGGTGTCGTCGAGGTGTCGTCTTTATACAAGATGGAAGATTTTTTTTTAAAAAGGCAACAAAATGGATTTTTGCTTAAGTTTTGCTCAAAATCTATATAGCTCGTGCTAAATTTCAGCTCGTTCTTGACATTTTCTCGTGTGTTTCAAATACCAAGCGTGCGTTTATCAGAGTATAAACCACGGCTGAGCCTTATTTATTTGTTAATTATTTGATATTGAAATTCTTGACTAAAGGACGTCGATCGATACAACAGCTAACAATGCATACCAGTGGCGGATCCAGTATTTTTCAAAGGGAGGTTGCACTTTGTTTTCGCATTTTCCTACAACGAATTTTTTTGCTGTGTCCCTCGAACTGTAGCAAATGCAGCGTGAATGGATTTTAATAAAAATTCATTGTACGATGCGATTTCATTTTATTTTATCTTTTTTATTTTTTATGAGGGGGATTCCTAGGAACCCCCCTGGATCCGCCACTTCAGTAGTTATGTAACGTTGTCTGAAATTGCAGTGTAAGTTAAAGCAACAATCACGATATCCCTTTAGACCATCCTATAAATGTGATTGAGATTGTAAAGAGGTTTTCGAACATGCGCCCCGCACATGCGCACACGTCAAGCAAAATCAGTAGTGCGAACAGTTCTTTGTCTTTTCAGAACGATCTGTGCCTTTTCAAATACCATTCAAAGAAAATGTAGGAAATGTAGCGAATGTGTCCGGTCAATTTAAATACATCATACACATACCCGTAGAGAATACAGTAAAGTACCAACGCGAAAATGTTTCGTAAATAGGCTAGTGCATTCAACGTGTTGGTTAATTTTCTGATAAATATCCGCAAATGCTGTATTTACGCAACATTCGCGCACCATAAACGGATGCGAAAAAATCAGATTTCGTCCTGTGTGTAAACGAGGACCCTTTCATTTCAAACTAGATTTAAAATCGAGAAATGCTATAAGCAATACCCGATGTGGGAATTTTGCCTCTGTAGACATTCACAAAAGAATTAAGGCACTGCGTCATGCATAAAGCTCAGTCACTCGTCAAAAACTATTGTCTTTTAACGAGTGACTGAGTTTTTTGCATGGCGCCTCGCCTTGCTTCCTTTGTGTGTGGCTACCAGCCGATCCAAAATTAGCACGTCGGCTATTATTAGAATTCCATAGTTGATACAGGTGAATGTCTATAGATAGATCGGACATGCAGCCTCATCATCCTACAATTGTTAACGCTATTCTAACAGCCAATTCAACCACCATGTTCCCATCATATCAAGCATTTTGTATACACCTAATTGAAGAAACGTTGTCGGGTCCAAAAAGGTCTAATCATAGAAGCTAAGACCGAAAAGGTGCTTGGGAAGGCAAACAATTTGGCTAATTTCATACTAACAGCTCTCCAGCATATAAGACTATCATGCTGTTAATCTTACTAGCTCTAGTTGCTTTACCGTGCACCATGTTAAACACCGTATATGCAAATGTAATCCCAATTTAGTGGTACTCAAAATCCCTTTAGGTCTTAGCTTCTATGATGTGAACTTTTCGAACACGACTACGTTTTTTTCAATTAGGTGTATATTATCACTGGGT